GTTATCGCGTTGCGTGATTTACGGTTGCTGTCGGCACGGCGGATTATTACGCCGCCGCGCTTTCCGCGCCAATAAAGATTTGATTTGCGTCGTGATCGATGATGTTTTATATTCCATGCCGCGTGCATTATCAAGCGGAAACGATGGCCTCACGAAATATTGCCCGATAAAATGCGGATCGAGACGAAAACGGCACTGCTTGCAAGCGGCAGGTGGAAACGCATGCGAATGCAGGCTGTGCCGAGTCGTCGGCTAGACGATGATATCCAGGCCAGTCGCACAGGATGTTCAAATTAGGCATCTGCGTCATCAGTCCCTGCAGCAATTGTTCCGCTTTTGGTCCATCGTTGGCTATCACGCGTTCGTCGTATGATTTCGCGGAATCGAACGGATAACCGTCTCGAATCCGGAACACGATTCTCATCTCGTTCCTCAGATCCTTTGAAAACTCGTTCGCGCGTTCTAGTTCGATTCGTGTGACAAGAATGTGGCGTGCGAATAATAACCGTAGAAGGAAAATCATGACAAAAAAGGGGGAAAAAGCGCGATTTCCGCGAGCTGTCCCCAATCGTCTAATTAATAAATTCGCAATGTTTACGAAGTTATTGTTGCAAGTAGAGGTGTGCGAATAGTTCGAATTTGAATCACAAGATTCTAAATCGAATAGTTCGAGAATTTCGAATTAACAATGGTTCGATCAATTGCCTAAAAAATGTTAATCTGGGAAAATTTGATTCAGATTTGATTCGTATTCGAATTAAAGAGATTCGATTCGATTCGATTCGATTCGAAGTGAAAATTTCAGATTCGATTCGATTCGATTCGACCATGCAAAGGCTTAATTCGCACACCTCTAGTTGCAAGTGAAATTATATCCATTATTGAAAATTAATCTCTTATAACTTTTTCGCCCGAAACTTTTTTTAACTTCTAAAATTCTTGAGATCTTTAAATTTTCTCATTAAAATTTTCTCTTGAAGTATATTTTTCGCGACTTAATATTTCAAAGTCGGGATATTTTAATATCTTTAAAACAATCTGGAATTTTCAAGGGATTTCTTAAACAATAAACAGAGAAAAATCTTTTGAAATTTTATGTTTAATAATTTTAGTAATTTTAGTAAAATTAATAATTTTAAATTTAAATTCTGTCTTTTTCTGAAAAAATTGTTTCTTTGATTTTTTTTTGATAATGCAAAATGTCCATTATTTGTTAGCAATAAGTATAACATCCGCGTACATTTACGTGCATTTTTGTCTCGCCAGATTTTATTTAAAAAAAATCAGGCTGATCGAAGATATACATAGTAGAAAAAAGTAGATAATGAATTGAAACTATACTATCGTATAGTATTAGCTAAGTCATTAATACCATACTATGTATAGAGTACAGCGGGGTAATTTGAATAGTGGGGTAATTTGGATAACAGTAAGTATTTGCAAGAATTTCAGAAAAATAAGAGATTTTAAGATACATTTCATTAGATCAATGTCTGATCTAATAAAATGTATCTTAAGATCTCTTATTTTGCCGAAATTCTTGCAAATGCTTACTGTTATCCAAATTATCCCGCTATACCCTACTATAATATAGTATATAGTTTGTTCGCGTTGCTTGTGTTTCAGTTTATTTCGAAATTGCATTAAAAAAATTGTCTACTCTTATCTGAAATTTTGAATAAAATTGTTTGAAATATTCGGGAACTTTTAGGAAATTTCTTTTACAAGATTCGAGCAAACATTCTAATAAATCCTTTTCTTTTATCCGGCAAGTGGATACGTCCAGATTTGAGAGAAGACGTTGGTAAGAGCATTTGCTCGTCCATATTTCTATTCTATGTGACAAATGCATTTGCGTCTATATATTTTACCAGGGCCATATGCTTCACCGTTTTGTTCGCATGAGTCAAAGATCCCCAAGGAATACGAAGCGTTTCTCCAGTTTACAACTGGGAGGATATCCACTCCGCGAAGTGAATCAAGAGAGAGGGGGAAAGAGAGGAAGAGGGAGAGAGAGACGTTAGAAAATCCGTACGACGTGTATCTCTCTCCGGGTTCTTTCTTTTTTACCCCTCTTTTCAATCCGAGCAGACGTCGACCGAGGATTTAGGACCGACCTGCCAGCAGGCTTTTTTTACCGGGCGCATGCAACTCGATGGTAAAATAAATAGCGATCCCCCTCGAGCGGTTATAAGTGCGATAAGACAGATGGTTAAAGCGGCTTGGAAGGGACACCGAGAGAGAAGAGTGTAGGAGCCGAGCGATTAGCAGAAAAAAAAGATAGCGAGAGAGGAGACCAACAGCATATGTAATACCCACTCGTTGTGACAGTATCGACTTGATATCGTCGCTCGCATTTTAAAAGGACGCAAATCTTGTTTATAGAATCTACGTAACAAGGCATCTACTATTTAGAAAAATCTCGAAAATTTGGAATTTTAAAGAAATTTATCTTTTTATCCTTGAAAATCAGGGATTTTCATGAAATTTTATCACGTAATTTTTGGAATGTTACTTTTAAATTTAAATTCTGTTTCTTTCTGAAAACATTGGGTGCATCTATAATAGAAGCGTAACCGCTTACTAAGCGGTTAAGTAGCAGTCAAATATGATTGGTTCTTATCTTTAGATCTATCCAGTCACATTCGACCGTTTAACGAACGGTTGTGGATGTACCTATTGTTTCTTTGATTTTGATAATGCAAAATTATCATTATATCAATCGGTTTGCAATAAGTATGGCATATCCATGTACATTCACATACATTTACATTCTTGAGAGACTCGTAAATTTTCATTAAAAAAAGGGTAATAGACACAAAAGACAATTTTCAGCGGAATAGAGTAGCTTACTGATACTATGTTGAGCTTTTCCTGTAGGTTTTAGGCTGTAGGCTTCATTTCAATTGTAGAAAAGAATAATTATAGTCTCGTGGAATTTCTATCTTCTACTAATTATAAACTATATAAAAACTAAGTAGTTAACGTGTTATATACATATGTTGTTTACAGTTTTTTCTTTATTATAATTCAGTTTATGACTTTTCTATTTTTTAAATTTTTGAATGTTTTTCACAAATAAGCTTTTTTGAGGTCTTTTTTAAATAATGAGGCTAGTTTAATAACTTGGCTATAATTTTATTGATGTTACGACTATCTTTGATCAATCACTTTTTAAATAATTGTATATTTAAATTATTAAAAAATTGTTCTTAGTTTTAGAAAGAATGTAAATGACATTTTTTATGTATTTGGCGTATATTTTTCTTTTTTTAAAACGATTTTTTATGGGATCTCATTGCTTTTTGTTAAATTATAATACAATTTAAATCTTTTAAAAATGAACACATTATTATTTATAAAATTGTTACTTTAATTTAATATACTTTCTCTCAATTTTAATAGTTTATTGATTTAATTTTTTTCTCATTTATTTGTTCTAAGAAAAATATGTATGCACCCTTAGCTATTTCGAGGTAATTGACTTGTTTCAATTTTTAAATTATTTACGGATATCTATTTTGTACCTTTAGTTTGCAATATATTTGTGTTATGTTCATTGTTTATATTTCCATGATAAAAAATTGCACTGTTAACTTTATAAATATTTTCAAGAATATGTATTTTTGATATAGATATGGATTTAATATTAAGATTTGTAATCTTTGTAACTTTTTTATTATTAACTTAAATAATAATAATTGAAAAATGAGTATATGTTTGGTCATTGTTATATTAGTCTTTTCAAGTAGTGTCACAATTTTTGCATAATTTTTGTACATTATTAATAAATAAATAGATAAATAAATTTACTTTATTTATTTTTAAATTAATTTATTATTTATGCAGTACAAAAGAGAGAGAGAGAGAAATACACAAATTTATTTTGTTTTGTATTTATTTCGTTTTGTATTACAATATTTTTTAAATTAATAATAATTATTAACATTTATTATTTATTATTATTAATAATTAATTAATTATTTTATATAATATTGAGCGATTATTATGTAATTATTTATTGCTCTTTTAGCTGATTTTTATTTAATCTTAATTAACCGTACTTATTAATTTTATGGTGCTGCTCTTGCAACTGAACAACAATGATCGATATCGAAATCGATTACTAATTTTAACAAGATTTTGTAAAAATTCGCTTTGAAGGACAAATCGCTTTGCATGCATATGTGTATACGTGTGATTGAAAATGTCATTTTGAATAAAGTGACACTTTTCACGAACTCGATCTCAAGATCTCAATAATGACTGCACCAATTTTATTCTTAATGATCGCAATTGAAAGTTCGTATCGACATTATATCAGAAAATATCGTTAGATTTTGTATTGCTGTTATAATTTCTGAGATATTTGAATTGAAAGTATGTTTGATATAAGAATTTCAGATAAAGCTATGGTAGCGTCACGATATTTGCGCAATGAAGTAACACGTAGACCACGCAGTCACGCGGTCATCACTCTTTTTTATGTACTTAGCGTCGCGCCGCTGCCGCGTCGCTTGATAAAATTATATTAAATTATAATGCATAAGTTTGATTTTCTTTCATTTCAGTTAATGATTTCAAACTATTGGCCGACAGTATATTTGTGAGAGAAATTAAGTTTTTGTCTTTACTGCATTGATTAAAATTATTATATTACACATTTTCTTAAAAAAGCTTTTATATTGCCATTATATTAATAATTTTAATTATTAATATAACATAATATATTGAAATACGTTGAAAGCATAAGATGCGTATGTGATAGTTACGTAAGTGATGTTATTTGGTTGAACAAGGATCTTAATTGTGATAAACTGAGAAGCGAACGTGGGGAGAAATCCTTGGGGAGAAAGACGAGAAAAGTAATCGGCGGGGTCAATTAATACGCTGGTCGGCGCCGTCGATTAACGAGATTAATTTGGCTGGCCTTAGTCTGTACGGTCGCTCTTCGGCGTAAGATGCATCATCGTCTCTAATCCGAAATATCTTCTTTTCAGAGGAAGAGCAAGTACCAGGAGGCGAAATTGAAGGCACTCAAGGCGAGAAACGAGTACATCCTGTGTCTGGAGGCTTCGAATACGACGATACACAAGTATTTCGTCGACGACCTGTCCGATCTCATCGACGTAAGTTACTCATCCATACCCGGACTCGCACGTGCACCCCATTGACCCCACGACCAACGGCCGCGCTTTCACCGGCCTCGGTATTCGTTGCACTTATTCGTCTGTATTGTAACGTTACGTACCCAGCAAACACAGATTATAACTACAATATTGCAGCAACAATGTAATCTTTCTGCAATATAGCTGAAATGTTACAATGTTGCTGCAACATTGCAGTTATAATCTGTGTTTGCTTATATAAATTGTTCGGATTAAATTTATATACTGTGTCATTTAACAAATTAAGTACTATCCAATCTAATAAAAAATAAAGAATAACGATGTTACCCTGGATATCATCTTACCGGGATACGACGTACTCAGTGAGATTTAATCGTTTCTGAAATTACATTTCTTTAAATTATTATCATTGTAATGATTTGAAAATAATATATTTTTTGTTTGATCTTTTTGTTCATCTATTTTTATTAGTTTCTCAGATATCCATTTCACACGTGTTGAGCTAAAAAATTGTTTCAGTTCAGAGATATGACAAAGTTACAGATCCTTGTGCAGCGGGAAAGATAATCAAAAATAGCAATGGTGACCTGGGGTTGAGAAAAGAAAAATATTAACACGTAAAAATGATAAAGAAAGGTTCAGAAAATATTAAAAGGAAAAGTTAGACTCAACTCATTGTCTTTAACTTCTGCTTTTACGTATAAAAGTAATCTAATTTATTTTGTGTTAAAAGAATAAATACATATTTGCTTTTTTTCTCACAGTGCATGGACTTTGGATTCCACAATTGCATAGCAAGGGCACTGCTGATGCACTGCAGCGCGGAGGAGGGTAAGCAACGTTCACTGCAATCTGGCGCCGAACAATTAGCTGCGTGCGTTGGCGCGCTCGACTCCCGGGCGGATAAGCAGAGATTCCTGGAGTCTCATCACGCAGCCTTTATGATTCCCAAGAAGTTTGAGTTCCAAGGACAGCGTGGAGATGAGGTAAGAAGGAGAAAGAGACAGAAAGAGGAGAGAGAGAGAGAAAATTTGAGTTATTCCGAAACTTTATTAATTTTTCGGCCTCTCTCCCGTCGCTTTTTAATCTAACAGTAATATAAATTGTAATAAATTACGATAATTTTATTTATAACACACGCTATTTTAATAAAGTAACGTTGTTAGATAAGCAATGCTGGAAAGTCGGAATTACCGACATTATAATTATATAAATATCTCCGAATTAACTGAATGGAATGGAAAATCTTTTTACAGGATTGAAATAGATATGAAATGTAGTGGAACGAAGCAATTTGTAGTAAAAACAAAAAAAATTTTAAAAAAAATTTTTTTTTCGTTTTTACTACAAATTCCTTCGTCCTACCACTACATTTCATATCTATTTCAATCCTGTAAAAGGATTTTCAATTCCGTTCAGTCAATTCGAAGATATTCATATAACTGTAATGTCGATAATTCTGACCTTTCAGCATCGCCTTGATAATACAATTATGAGAGCATAAGAGAATAAATTTCAAAATCTGTGAATACCGTTCTGGTTTTTATCGGAACTTTTTCGTAGCCATTGACGCTATCAAATTGCCGGTTTACCGGTCTGTTTCCTCCCGATAGACGCCCGAGCCCGAACTGCAGAAGATGCTGCATTCGGAGATGGAGCAACGACTGCAGCAGCTACAGCAGAGGGTGACGTCGCTGCGAACCGAATCGGAGGAGGTATGGAAGACACTGGAGACGGCGGAGGCGAGTCTGCTCGAGATGCTGACCGCCAAGGATTACGACTGCTCGAGATACTTTGGCGAGAACGCCGTACCTACGTCCAGGCCGCCGGAGACGCTTCAGATCAAGCTGCGAGCTGATAGACAGGAGACTGAAGAATTCTACCTCACGGTGAGGTTTTATGGCAGAGCATAAGTACTATCCCCCTTTCCTCCGCGGCGAGCGGAAGACACACGATCGTGCGGTAGAATATTGATCGTCGTATTAGCATTCGAAGGATAGAGGAAGTGCGCGAGCAAGGGACAAGTAGAAAACAAGCTGACGGCGCATCACTGCGTTCAGTATCTGTTATTCTACTTGCATTATTTTTCGTGAGAAAGTAATGAGTTTTTTTTATCTATATTAAAATCTTCGAGGAAGCAGGAATCCAAAAATAGAACGCGCATTATATTTCATTTATCTATATTTATATATATATTAAGATTGACAGAATTAGACTTTACATTTTGTTTTCTGAAAAGAATATTAATATAAAAATATAAGTGGTAAAATAAAGAATAAAAAATATATAAATTGTGTTAACAATGTTATATAATACAAAAGAATTACATTTAATACATAATAAATGTTCAGGGTAAATCTATCAGTTACAAGAATGCCTTTGACGCACAGAAAAAATGCAATTCACAAAACTTACGTTCTCCTTTATGTTGTTGCTTGTAGAAATTCAGGGAGTACCTTCTCGGCACGTCGAGAATAGCCAGGTTAGACGCGAAACAGGAATACATCCGGCAGAGCCTGCTGGACGGCTCGAATGCTAGCCCGAACCCGTCGATTTCCGCGTCAAAGCAGAAGCAGGCGCGCCGCAAGCGGATCGGCCGTCTGCAGATGAACGGCCAGCCGAAGCTGTTTGGTGGCTCGCTCGAGGAGTATCTGGAGAGCACGAATCAGGAGATACCGCTGATCATGAAGAGCTGCATCCGTGTGATCAATCTGTACGGCTTGCACCATCAAGGTATCTTCCGCGTATCGGGCTCGCAGGTGGAGATCAACAACTTCCGCGAGTGGTTCGAGCGCGGTGAGGATCCGCTTGCGGATGTCACCGACGCCTCGGACATCAACAGCGTCGCCGGGGTGCTGAAGCTCTATCTGAGGGAGCTGCGGGAACCCCTCTTTCCCATCATCTACTTCGAGCATCTTATGGAGCTGGCGCAGCTCGAGTCGAAGCAAGACTTCGTCAACAAGATGAAGGAAATGATCGCGAGTCTGCCGCGGCCGGTCGTGATCGTCATGCGGTATCTTTTTGCCTTTCTCAACCAGTGAGTATATTGTCGTTCTACGAGGAATTTAAAACGTGTAATGCTGCGCTGGATATTAACATCTGACTTATGCTTAAACAGCCTGTCGGAATTCTCGGACGAGAACATGATGGATCCGTACAACTTGGCTATTTGCTTCGGCCCGACTTTAGTACCGGTTCCGGAGGACAAGGATCAGGTCCAGTACCAGAATCAGGTCAACGAGCTTATCAAGAACATCATCACTTTTTGCGAGGAGATCTTCCCGGAGGACATCGGGGGCACTCAGTATGAGAAGTACATCAGCAGAGAACCCGACGACGTGTGAGTAGAAACAAGCTGACGTATATTACCAGATATTATGTCAAGATAATTCACATTTAACATTTAAACAGTACTGTAAAAGACTCTAATGTCCATTTTTATCAATGTGGATTAACTTTAATCTGTAGTTCAGCTTACTTATCTTTTTTTAATTCTTAGAATTAGATAAAAAGTAAGTTAAGCTGAGATTAAAGTTAATCTACATTGGTAGAAATGGACATAAGAGATATCGCAATTTTTTATCGGTCTTCAGGCATCTCTTGAATTTTTTTTGTTGTTTTTGGCTACTAATGTGATTCATAATTTAGGGATGTGGGAGATTCACCAACAGATCAAGTCCAGGAAGACATGGATTCGGAGGTTTATCCGTCCGAAGACGGTAATGCAATTTTTTTCGAAGATATAAGATATCGTTGAATTGGAAAATATTTTCTATGAAGTGTTGTAATGTATTTGTTTTCTATTCGTAGAATCGGAGAATCTCGAGGGTACGGCGCAATTTGACTTTAACGCGAGGTCCGAGAGAGAGCTGAGCTTCAAGAAAGGCGACACCTTGACGCTGTACACGCAGGTCAGCAACGATTGGTGGCGAGGCGCTCTAGCTGGCAGGGAGGGACTGATTCCTGACAAATATATTATGCTCAAGATAAAGTTAGTAATATTGTATTAATTATAATGAATTTTATTTTACCGCTTAACAAGAGAGAACTCCGCACACATTTTATGGGAAATTGTCTTCCGGTGGAAAAACGTTTAAACTTTCAACGTTTCAAACTTTGAAACTTTATGGTTTATGAAACGCCAATTGAAAGTCTCAATGAACTCGACTTTCCAAGAATTATAGTTTTATCTCCACGGAATGCTGATAATTATTAAAATGTAAATACGAAAATGATCATGTTCGCAACTTTCTGCGAATTTCAACAAGTGAAATACTCTAGGATTCACCAGCAATCGGCAGATAATTTTCCATGGAATGTATGCGGGAACCTTTGTCTTTCAAGATTGTTATTCATAAATTAAATTATTATTTAAATTTTACATTATTTAATTTATATGATTTAAATTCGAATCTATCATTTAATTAATTTCTAATTGTTTCGTTGGCACTTCCCGCATTTTTCTCAGGGATGAGGAGCGCGAGAAGGATCTTTTAAAATCGTCCAGCGAGGAATCTATGCGTAGAAGAGCGTCCAGCTCGGCGGACAGCGTACTGTCGAGCAATAACTCGCCGCTGATAGGCCCGTCGGCGAATCCGAGCACCTGGTCGTCCGGCGCGGCGTCCGACATGTCGTCATCCGCCACGACGAACATAATAACGGATAATAGTAACGCCAGCGGTATTATCGCGTCCGTGGTGACGAATGTGCCCTGCATCTCGTCGTCGGCGCAGCCGATCATCAGTCGAGAGGTATTGGAAACCACCGTTTAAGTAGTTGACCTCTGAATTTAATCTGTGCCCGAATTCTCTCTCCTCTTCCGGTGTTCGTCTTCGCTTTTTTTGGCGTGTGTATATTGTTCGCACTGTTGCATACCGACGCACCGATACGCGACGCAGATCTCTATCCGTGTTCTCCGTCGACTCTCTTCGACGACGCACACTCAGGTGCATGGCTGTTCGAGAGCTGTTACATATCTTTTTTTTTTCATCTCTTTATTATATTCTCGAGTGAACGAAACCGCCGTCTGGAATGCACAACGTAGATTGGCAACACGAAATCTCTCTTTGCCTTCGCACCTGCACCTGCATATCAGATTCCACGCATCGCTTCGTCCGCGCGTAATCCGCGCGATTCTCCCGCGGTCGAGCGCGACGTACCTTCCGTTCTCCATGAACGAGTTCTCGAGAAAGAAAAACAGGACGGAATTACTGTGGCCGGTGAGGGTAATTCAGCAAGCTGTCGTCCGTCGTGAAATGTATGCGGTCGCTGCCGTGATTCCGAGACGTATGTAAGTGTCCTAAAGTTTAGCGAAAAGAAATCGACGACGCGGTGATCGGCAGAAATCGTGGAAGGGGAGGGAGGGGAAGACGACGAGACGCGTGTAGGAGAGCACCTCGCGTGAGAGAGACGTTTTATTTTTTAAGTTAACTTAAAATTCTCGGTACAGCACACGAAGTACTTTTTGTAGGACCTTTTATACGAGTTTGTACGATACACATCTGTAAATAAAATATAAATATACATGTTCATTTTGTGCTGCATGTACCTCGCCTTGTTGTGGTTGTGTTCTTGCCTTGTGCCGCCGCCTTGTGTCCTCCGTTGCATCGTCTCTACTTATGTGCGTAATGTGTGTTTTGATTTTTCCTCCTTACGTAATTTTTTTCCCTTTTTTTGTTAACCATTATTTTTAACTGTTGGGATGGTTGATGTTTTTCCAGATATACGTTTAGCTCTCTCGGCCCTCTTTAGTTGGCGAGAAAAAGCCATGCCGTTTTCATACGCAGCACACATATTACGCAGAGCGAAACGCGCGGACTAAAAACTGTTCGATAAAACTGGCCGCCAGTGTTATCTAGTTGTGTGACTAGTTATTTTTATATATCATTGCCGTGTTTTGTGTCGTTTGAGATTTCGCGAGATTGAAATTTCGGAGAGTGTGTTAGAGGCTTCTTTTCCTCTCGGTTTAATTTTTTTTTTTTTTTTTTGTCGAGTTCTGCGAGAGTCTGCTAGGGTTTCTCTCCGTAGAACGAATTTTTGCTCCTCGGTCTATAGATGAGATCAAAAGGAATGCCGCACGCGCGGGGGGCCTGCTTGTCTCCAGCGGATATCCTTTCGGCTTCCGAGGTGAGTAATGAGAGTAATCTCACCCATTGCAATAGCCTTATATAGCCACTATTAACCTTCCCTCCACCGAGCAGTAAAGAGAATAGAAAAAGAGAGGTAAACTAATTCATCGTTTGTTTACGCCGGTTTGCGTGCGCCCGCTTTTGTCTGTCTCAGTTTTACGAGCAGTTTTTAATCCTGTCCCTCAAGTGGTTACTGTCTTATATGTGTGTACTTTATCCCTTAATTTTTATTTGTGCGCCGATTTGCATGCGAGCGATTAATAAGTGTTCCCGAAAAATTCCGTAGTTTTCACAGATGCTATTCCGAACCGATCCTGTCGAGAATAAGTATTTTGATTAAAGAGGGACAGGAGGTTTATGTGATTAAATTGGAGACGAAATTTGCGAATTTATTATAAGAAAGGAATAAATGGGCAAAATTTTTCGTTTAGGTGCTACTTTTATATTTAAGATGCAGAAAATTAATTTGTAAATTTATTTAAATCTAGGAGTTTCCTGTCCTGTTGAAAATAGGTTCGAAAATTTTAGGTTTTGCCACAAAATTCCGTGACTTTTATTGTTCTTTTTAAAAGTCACGGAACCGTGGCAAAACGCTAGACACTAGACATTTTCATTCACAGAAAACTTCTATATTTTTAACAAGTTTTGTTATACAAATTAAAAAATTTTTTAATTAAAATTGAATTTTTAATTAAATTGTTAAATTATTTTTTTAATTAAAATTTATATTTATATCTAATTTTCTATATCTATAAATATAGTAATAAATAACAGAGAATTGTGTTTCCATACACATTTATTCCTATCCCTCAAATAAATTCGCAATTTTGTCTCCAATTTGATCAAGTCTCCTATCACTCTTTAATATTTTGACCGTTGAATGAAAAATCTTTTATCTTGAAAACAATTATTTTATTAATGTACTGTTTAATCACATAATCAGCACCCCTCTCATCCGGTATTTACATATATATATCTCACATTGTCGTTATATCGTGCAATTGTAAATTATTCACAAATGATTTCACTTGCCCAAATTTGTATCTATACACATGTTGTTACATGGAAAATTGTATGCAGGGTGTCCTACCACCATTGGATGACCTTTATGGAATTTTTTACAAACTTGTCACCTTCCTTTATGAAATTTTAACAACCTGTGATGTATTTATTTACTACTTTCTTTAAATTGTAACTTAAAATTTAATCTAGCAAAGTTAATTAAAAAATAAACGAAAAATAGAATTTTCCTGCCTGCGTTTCATCGATTTATTAAAAGAAAAGTCTTCGTTAACTTCTTCTAAAATCATGACGATGTTTTAATGTCGAGAAGCTGTGAATTCTTTCGTTTGTGATCGTATAATTGAAGGTACATCCTGCGGTGGCAAGAACCCCTGTACAGAAGGAAGGAGACGTGATTCGATAATAATTCGACAATAATTCGTATCTCGTTACAGCGCGCACGATCACTGATAGATCAGGACGGCGTAGTATCTGCGTATTCCCCGCAATAGTAAACCGAGACCGGTCTGTCGGCTTCGCTCAGGCAACACACACCCATTTATAGCCCCCCGCGTGCGCATTCCGAGCCTCGCTACGATTGTTCCCGTGACTGTTTGCAGGCTGACTCCGTGACGCCGTCCTCGAGGCCGGCCAGAGCGTCCACCCCTACGGAAAGCGAGAAGCACTCGGAGCAACATCGAAACAACGCGGACGGCGTTTTCCAGATTGCTCTGGAGAACAATGTCGATTGTTTCGACGGGAATAACGTGAACTCCGCTCAGCAGCAACAGCAACAGCAGCAGCAGCAGCAACGAGGTGGAAACAGCAGTGAAGAGATCGCGAGCGATCTGGGCAACGTGTTGGCGACGATGTCGTCGCTGGACGGCATCGTGACGAAGCGCGGCATCGCCGGCCGGAAACAGCAGCATTGGAAATCGCAGAGCGTCGGTGAGAGCGTGATGGCGCAGCAGCATCAGCAACAACTGCTGCAACTGTCGCACGCGAACTCTCTGCCGACCTCGGCGACGGCGACGACGATCGCCACGATAGCGGCGGTGACGGCGGCGACGACTACGACGACAGCAGCGACGACGACTATCGTGACACCGGACGACGAGGAACAGACGACGACGACGACGACGACGACGACGACGAACTTCTCGGTGAACCGCGAGCTCTGGCAGCGTCGCGCCACCTCGCAGTCGACCCCGAAATCGTCATCCTACTCCCGCACGTCGCAGGAGTTCCGCGAGATGCGGCAGAAGCACACGCCCGACTTGGTGATGGATCTGCCGCTGTCGGCGCAGGACCCAGTCGGCAAGAAGTCCGCGTCGTCGAGCAGCCTGAGCAGCTCGGACGAGGAGACAACGATGCCGTCGTCAATGCTGCTGGCGCCGCCGCCGCAGCAGCAGCAGCAGCAGCAGCAGCAGCAGCAGCAAATGCAACCCACCCGAGCGGAGGCGGCCACGTCGCCGACCGGTGGTCCGGAGTCGCCAGACATGAGCACCGCCGCCGAGCGCTTCGCCAAGCAGAACCAGTGCACTCTGAAGAAGAACACAAAGACCGCGAGCTTGGAGAGCGCCACAACCGTCGCACCAACGACAACCACCGGCAACAATAAGCTGAAGCGGATCGAGACGGCAGAGCACGTCGACGGAACGAGCGTCGTTGTCGTCGACGCGGAGAACGACGAGATCGTCCGGTCGGCCAGCTCGAATCAGATCGCCGTTGATGGCGGCAGCGGCGGTGGAGGCGGGGGAGGAATGCCGCTCAGGTCACCCCTACCGCCGCGCTCCACCCCCAAGATCGTCGCCAAGTTCGCCGACATGCATCTGACCGGCGGCAGCCAGGTGGTCTCGTCGTTCAAGCCGCAGGTCAAGGTCAAGCCGACGATCCTGCGTAAACCAGTGCTGCCGTTCCCGCATCCGCACATGAGTCCCGAACTCGCGCGTAAGATCGAGAAGCAGGCGCAAAGCGCAGAGCAGGCCAATTAAGATTGCCATTGTAATGTTGAGCCGAGCGGAGCTGAGGGGGAGAGAAAGAGAGAGAGAGAGAGAGGCCCGCGCCATTCATCGCGATCGGCACGGCGCGGCGCGCCTGGCGACTCCGAAGACATCGCTCTTCCGGCGTTTTTCACCTTTCGAGTCACCGATGAAATGAAAGTGATAGCCCCCCCCTCCCAGGACCAGGTCGGTCGGCGATACCGCGTTTTCAAGGAGACACACAGAGTTCATCTCTCCCAGGTCTGCATGGTCCACTCGAATCGCGGTCGCGCTCTCGAACGATGTTAACTTGACAATAACCGTTCCCTCTCGCACATGCGGGGTCTCGCCGGAGGAGGAAACGCGATAACGAAACGCGAGGCCGCGGGCCCGCGTCGCCAGGGGCGTCAAGCCGATCATAGCCGTTTCCCGAGAGTCTTCTTCGCGAGTCTCGCCGATCTCGAGGCGCGCGCCGTAACGTTGTAGATTTTAGGAGCGATTATACGAAAGCGCGACCACCCATCGACCAGTTACTCCGCCCAGTCGCGAGGATATTTCTATCGTATTAATTATCGTGCCCGAAGAAGAAAGGAAAGCCGCCCCGCGGGATAGCGACGCGGTGGGCTGAAATTTTGATGATCGCGCGACGACGCGGTGAATTTGGCGCGCGGGAGTTCGAGCGAGACTGCGGCGCTATCCTCGCGGGAGGGCGAGTTTATTTTTTCTACAGATGTTTTCCATTTTCGCATAATTTTTTTACCAAATGATCCGCACGAAGCGATGTTTCTAGTCATCGAGCGAAGATAAGAATAAGAGAAAAAAAATAATGAGAAAAAGAGCGAGAGAAAAAGAAGTGTGAGAGTGTGAGAGAGAAAAGGAGTGAGAGAGAGAGAGAAAAAGACGTTAGCATCGAAGAATGAAGTAACATTGAATGACGGTATAATTTATTTTTTAGCGCGTGCCCGATGTATACGCCAATGATGGATTTTCCTGCTGCTATCCTATCACTATTATTCTTGACGAGCACCGTCGCGAGCCGTGACGAGCGCGTTCGATGGTTCCTTTATGCGCGAGCGAGAGTGTCAGTATGAGTTTAAAGAGAGAAAAACAAAGTAAGGAATGAAGAAAGTAGAAGGTATGGAGAAGGAATGGAGGAGAAAGAAGAGGAGCGCGTGCTGTTTCCCCAAACCTTCTTATCTTTCCGAGACACCTCCCTGGTCGTGAGATCCAGGTCTTGTTGTTTCTCGCGTCGTAGAGCGGAAGTGAGAGAGAAAGAGAGCGAGAGAGAGAGTGAGAGAAGAGAGTGAGAGAAGAGAGTGGGTCCCCGTAACTTTATCGATAGGTTTATCGTAATAGGGTACGTTACATTATACTATATGTATACCGCGTGCCGATCTTAATTATAGGTACTAACTAATCCAAACAGCGATGTTCGATATATTCGAGATAAAGACAACAGAGAAAGAGAGAGAGAGAGAGAGAAAAAGGGAAGGAAAGATCTAGCTAAGGTGATTTTACGACGACGACGACGCGAGTGTTTATTGATTGACACGGCGTCGCCGAGCTGTCGCTTATTACACTTCCGGTCCACCAACAAGACGAGATGACAGAAGAAAGAGAGGAAGGAAGAATTTAAGGAACAGGAGACAACACGTCCTCCGTAATTCATCTGGATGTTATTCTTGTATTGCCATCCCTTATAATCGATCGATCGAAAGAAGGAGGAAGAGGAGATAGATAAATAGAGATAGAAAGAGAGAGAGAGAGAGAGAGAGAGAGAGAGAGAAGAGAAACTTGTACTCGTGATTTAACGATTATCGTATACCACGTACACGTTACACGCGGAAAAAGAAAATGTATACCGTATAAGCGCGTATTCGCGGAGGAGAAATCCCGTTCGCTCGGCAGGATTCGCGCGAATCGATGGATTCGTGAATTCCAAGGGTCGCGCGTTTTGCACTCATGCGACGCTCCCTCACTTTATGTGTGTATCGACTAAATGTTTAGCACGCGTTTAAGCGGTCTGCTGTCGCCAGCGTTATCGCGATATCCGATACCACGGATATTGGTGCCTCGATACTCACGATTGATATGCGTCATCCGCAAAGGATGTGACTGAATCTTTGTCTTTAATTCCGTCACACTTAACATATTTCGAGTTGACATTTTTTATGTTCATTTCCAACGTAGATTAACTTTAATCTTGGTTTAACTTACTTTCTATATTTTATTTCTAGTTCTTAGAATTAGTAAGTTAAACCGAGATGGAAGTTAATTTACACCGGACAGTAGAAAAATTTGAACATCAAGGCTCCTATTTATTTATCACTGCAATCTTAGATTATGGTGTTAGAAAATGAGAAATTGTGAAATGATATATTCACACCTGTGATAACTGTCAAATTAATAATAATTAATCACAGATTTCTATATAATAACCGTAGATCGCTAGCTTCGAGAAATGAAGTGAAATCAAGTAACTCAGGAGAGGGGGTAGCAGTCATCTTCACCATGAAGTAAAAGCTCTTACTTTATGATCTTCGCCCAGTAATGGGTTACATTTCAAAACATCCAAATTTTAAGCAATATTATTAAATGCACACTAACACTACTTCATAAAGCATTGTATCCCAGCAAATACAGATTATAATTGCAATGTTGTAGCAACATTGTAACATTCCAGCTATATTGCAGAAATATTACATTGTTGCTGCAATATTGTAGTTATAATCTGTGTTTGCTGAGATGTGATTACCGGATAAATATGGCGTTTAGCCTCAACTCAATTATAGTAAGTTGACAACTAGTAAGCTAATAAAGTATAGCATGTTAGCAATCTAGATATTCTATAGAAATCTGTGATAATAATCTTATAGAAATAAATACAATTCAATTCCTCTCTTTCTTTGAAGCATAAAGATAGTTTTTGGTACATTTTATGTCTATTTTATCGATTGCAAATGTCTTATCGAAAAATATTTTAACATTTTGCAAGAATTTTTTTTGTATGTTTTCTCGCTTCTGACATCGCAATCTGATTCGAGATAGTAGTGGTGAGTGAACAGAACTTGGCGAACTTTTCTTCGATTGTTTCAATATTATAGATACTTTTAATCGAATCCGAGGTATTCGAGGAACGCGCGATTCGCGCAAAATCTCAAAGCGAATGACGTAATTATTATTGTATTTGTAATTTACATTTCACGAAGAATATTCTTATTTTTAGCCATGAGTATCCGGAACATCCGCGATTGTGAAAAAATCGATGCCGAGGTAAATCTGTCGTCAGGATTACGTGTCGTGCAATCGTATGCCGAGAGAGTAAATCCGTTGAAAAAGTCCAAAGATGCGATAGCGCTGGCCGACCCGCAGGATCGCTCAACATTGCAGGCGCTATACCCACCGCACCTATGAAATACCAAAGCGAAAAAGAATACGCCCCTCGCCCACTCGTTGACTCGTACAATAATTTGCGATTATCGTATAACCGCATATATGGTTTTCCGGTCTTTAAACGCCGGTCCCGTCGCGTTCTCGCCTTTTCTGTTTTCGTTTTTATCGCGCCTTACACAACATCCGCGAACCGCGTATTTTTGTAATCTCTCCGTTTCTTTTTTTGTTTTTTTTTCCTTTTTACACGGCGCCGACCGCGCGCCGAATGATAATGATTTTTAAACGAATGTTTAAACGAAATGTGTAAAACGTAATTTAATACGCATATAATTTTAGTGTAGCCACGTCTTATCAGTGGATGATCCGAGAGGAGCGTAATAGCTTAATCGATAATCTCTCCCATTAAGGCTAATGACACATATGGATATCGTAATAAACGAAACTTACAGGCTATACTATATTATATGAGCGAGGCTCATTCGTCCGACGACTGTATGTCGGTAGATTTCCTCCGCATCCATCCCGATTTTTGCGTCTCGACGCCTTTCAGGCAACTCGATGATTTTTATGTAGCAAGACCTTTCGGTTTCCTTTTTTTGGGAGATTCAGTATCTTATTTTATTGTTTATATTATTGAAATATATAAGGTGTCTATTTTAATATGTTAATTTTAAATTTAGCGTGTACACTCTGTTTGATTTGATTAAACTATTTAAGAATGAACGTCTCGTACGGAAGAAAGCTTCGCGACCGAGCACCTTTGATTTTACGCTCTTTGCAGTTCTTCGGCAGGTAAGACTGTTTGGTTTATCCTACAAATATAAATTCACTTTTATCAATACTTATATCGTAAGACTAGCAGAGATAATCGACAAAAATCAGATGCAGCTGGCGTGAAACGGCTGGACGAATCCGCTAAATGCAGCAATAATTTTATTAATGACTTAACGTAACGTCTGATCAGTTATTTATTGATCTTTTTATCGTTGCGTTTTATTTCTTTTGGTTTTTAAGGGGGCAAATTACTTTCTGGAGAAAAATTTATCTTTTTATTGCTTCTTTAATATCTACATATAAGGTTTAAGAGTATATGAAGAGAAACTTTATTGCAAATTCGGAAAATTGACGATTAAGTTATTATATAGGAATAATATAAACATGCAAATCGATAAGCGTACAAATCAGGCGCCCGCGTTTTTCTCAACATATGCTATGTTAAATTTTGCATACTTCATAACTCAGCTCACATTTAATATTATTTTATGAAAATTTATATGGGTATTCTTAATACCATTTTTTATAATCTCTCGAACCATTTTTCAAATTTGTATTTTAATATTTTAATATGAGATAAAAAAACAGCAAATTATGATAAAAATGTCAAATTCTTTTGTAAATTCATAAATACAATTGTTTGAATATAAGAAATCTAGCTCAAGAAATTATAATTGCAATGTTAATTTTTAGAAAATTTTTTGAGAATCTTCATATTTAGATTGTCATACGAATAAAACCGTAGAGTCACAGGCAGAACCAGCAATGAAAGCAGCTATATCATTTCCGCATAGAATTTTTTTTATATTCAACGTCACTGTTATATAAATTACATATATAAAGTTCAAACAAATTATTTAGTAGTTTTCTTCTGGACAAAATATTTCTTAGAAATTATCATATATTTTTTATTATCACTATCTCATATTATCACTATCTCATATTATCACTATATTTTTTATTATTACTATCTTATTATTATCACTATTATCATATATTTTTTAAAATATACATATGTTATATAATTTTTCAATTTCTATATAAATTTATAACTTTAAAAAATTTCTCAGATTTTTTCATACGAATTAAAACACAGAAATACTGAGAAAGTCTACATATTGTTTAGAATTCTTTATATACTGAATTCTGAAATATTCTACAAACAATGCAATTTTTCTTATTCTATAATTTCTGAAGAAAACTTATAAAATTTGAAGAAATTTAAAGTATTTTTAAGAAAAATTTTTATAAATTTAAAATATAGAAAATTTTTTAAAACAAAATAAAATGAGAATTCTTTTCACCAGAATCTTTAAATAATCTCTCGAATATTATTATTTTTTTTTTTTTAAGTAAGGACCACGCACTATAATCTTATGGAAAAGTGGCCCCCATCAAAATCAAAATAACCTGTGCGAAAGTATACTTTTGAGGTACTGATCAAAAGTCTCAATAGCGTCAACTTATAAACATAAGGAACAAAAAGTAAAAGTACAAAAAAAAACAAAAAGTATAAAAATAGAAAAATAAAAAAGAGATACACTTATCACCTCCACGTTGGTTGATCTTGGGTAGCGCTGAGAGTGAGTAATGTAATTACAATTTTGCATGCATTAAATAATATACAGACGTCTATGAAGTTATAAGTATATTTCGATATAAGTGCGAAAAGCATGACTTTATCGATGAGTGTGTTATCATCATCCGAATCGAAAAGGATGCTTTGCACGACTTACGAACGATATTTTAGTGTAACAAATGCATCGTGACTTGCCACTAGTCCGAAAAAAACTCACTTTTCGCATGCTCAACAAGCACGATAAATAACATTTTTTGTGCATGTATTATACATAAATAAATATACAAAAATATAATTATTGTTGGCCGCGGAATCTCAATTACGAAGTCTTCCGTATTACTTTTATTTTACATATAATATAGAGGACTTCTACTTATTGCCTATTGGGATATGTACCAAATATAAACACCTTCAATATGAGAGAGAGAGAGAGAGAGAGCAAGGAAGCGTATTTTTATGATTTTCTAAAATAAAGTGGTTTTAAGCAGTCTTTATGAGCTGACAGTGTAAAAACTATAAGTACGTACTATAACGGTGGTAAAAGCTTGACGTCATTGAGACTTTTGATCAGTACCTCATAAATAATATATTTTCGCACATGTTATTGCTATTTTGACGGGGGCCATTTTTCCATAAGATTAGTGCGTGGTCCTTTGTTTTCTTGATTTTGCAATATTCGAATATTCGTTTTTCATGATCGGTACCCCCTTCGGAATATTTCACTGCGGCGTCTTTCGCCGGCACTGCGTACCTGCGGTAACGGCGCGCACGATCGGCTGATGCATCAGCTGATGTCTCCCCTCCCGCCCCTCCCGCCAAGTCGTGTCGCGAAAGCCTGAAATGGCTAGAATGCGCTGCGCCCGGTCTCCGGTTCAATCTCTCCCCTCCCGCCTCGCGGGATTAATAACGACGAGAAGTTGCCGGTGGTGAGTGTTTCGTGACTTCGTGTGCATGCTCGCGTGCTGACTGCTGACATGGCGACGTCGGCGGGCGCGCTCACATGAGCCCCGAGACCCCCGTCGCAAGGGCCGTCGTCTATCGATTATCCTGTCGCCGTTTGTCGCTGGGCCGTCGACGAGCGGCGGATGAAGAGGAAACGTAGCGTGTGGCCCGGAGTCGCGCGGAGTCGCTCGCTCGTGAAAGGTCGGCGATGTCGCGCCGCGGTGCGGTTTAACCTGTCCGCAAACACCCTGTCCTGTGTTTGACGTAAATTCCCAGTAGCGGCGATGGACACGGACGAAGTTCTGTGCAGGATCTTCGGCACGAGCCTGCTCTCCGCCGAACGTACCGCCGCCGGTAGATCCAAGGATGATCATCTTGGACGATCCAGGTGAGAGTTTAGGTTTCCAGCCAGAGGAGAAGTTGATGGATTTGCTTATCTGCAGCTGTAACTTCTTTCTTCATCCTTGTGAGACTCATTGTCAGTCTACAATGGCTGTAGTATGTCTTTAGCCTTTTGCTCCAAATTGTGACGTTTCTTCCTGGCAAAAAATGCTTTTGGCGCTGCTTTAAGCTCTCTCTGCCATAATCTCTAAGCTTTAAGTAAGCTGGCTGGATCGCAGCTGTAAAACTTAGCAAGCTGCAAATTAACAACAATAAATCAGATCAAGAAAGCCGAGCATGTCTGCTTTAAATATCCTAGTTTTATATATAATTTTTTAAGTTCTTTTTTTATTCTACTTTATATTAAGTAAGCAAAAAATACATGATAGTACAGCTGAGGAAAGCTTAAATGTGTGTCAAAACAAAATCAAATAGGACATGACATAAATCTGTTATATTTTTATATTCTTCTGTTTGTGCCTTTCAAATTTTACTTTGCGAAATCTTTTATTAATTTTCTATTAATTATTACAATTGCTAAGTCGAGTATTTTGTTTTTCAGATCATTTCAGAACTTGACTTGGGTGAACGAGCACATCAGAAAATCCCTGTTGAATCTGTACATCGATACGTGGAACTCCGAAGACAATAGAGAGGGTCGTATAGGTCCTCATTTCGTTAAATTTGACGTATCTGCGCATCATGGTCTTTGCATCGTATCACCTGATCGGCTGAGCGTCAATTCGCAGAGTAGCTTTAGCACAATACGAGCCAATACGGGAATATTCAAGGGGAAGTGGATGTACGAAGTGCAACTTGGATCCAAAGGGGTGATGCAAGTGGGATGGGGCACCGCTCAATGTAAATTTAATCAACAGTATGGCGTCGGTATGTTGAAATGTCGCTGCAAAAGCTGCAACAGTACTTTGCCATATTTTTACAATAATTTCCAATGAAAATACTATCTTCTTACTGATATAAAATAAAAAAAGAGCAAATTATAATACAAATATCAATTTCTTACCTTTGTAGATAATTTTAGTTGAGCTAAAATTTAACTGAGATTCTACTATTCTCAGGAGACACCCCAAACTCGTACGCTTATGACGGAAATCGTGTGCGGAAGTGGAATGTGAGCACCCACAAGTACGGCGAGGCCTGGTTAACGGGAGACATCATCGGCTGCGCGCTGGACATGGACGACGGAACGATAGATTTCTATAGAAACGGCAGAAGTTTGGGCAGAGCGTTCGAAAATATACCGATGGGCGCCGGGATCGCGTACTTTCCTACCGTTAGCCTGGCCTTCACTGAGAATCTAACGGCCAACTTCGGCTCCATACCATTTAGATATCCCGTGGAGGATTACGAGCCCCTGCAGGCGCCGCCGATGGCGAAGGTTCGCCAAGCCTTGCTCCTCTTTCAGTGGCTCTCGCAAGTACTCGAGCTGCTGGAATACTCTAAAAAAGTTGATAAGCAGAATGTTCTGTCGGACGATAAGACTATGAGCGCCCACGCGTTCCTCATGTGCCTAGCGAGGTCCATTCTGAAGCACATTGGCCCCCTGCTCACCGTTTCTTATGTCACCGAGACGGTTTTCGTGCCGTTTATGCAAACACTCTGCAATCTGAGCGCCGACGACTCCGCGACGACGAAATCCGCTTACTCGAATATTCGTAGCACGCGATCGATTGTCTGCCTAGATCTACTGTGGATGTTTCTGGAAGAGCACGAGATCAAGATGTGCTTGGAGAGCACGGTGCTTCATTTACTATCCGCCTTTCGGCACGTTTCTTTGCTACTCGAGTACCCGGATCAGTGCAAGAGCCTGATGCTGCTGACCAAGATCTGTCAGCATACCGTCACACGGCAGTATTTTCTGCAAAACCTGCTGTTCGATCGCGTGCGTTTTGCCAACTTTGTGCACGTGAAACCACTTGACGAGGGCGGATTGACGGACGTAGTGGAGAAGGTCTGGTGGGAGACGAATCCTATGGATCCGTCGATCGAAGCGAACAAGACCAATTATCTGTACGCCTGTGAGCGCATCAAAACTGCCATATCCGGTACGATTAAATGTTTACGCCTTTTGTAATAATTTTTATGACATTTTATGACATTTTTAAGACATTTCACAATTGTGAATTATAATTAGTTTTATATAGAGTATCAAGCTTAGAGTATAAGAATAAGATATTTTTTATTTTATATTCGCAAAATCAAAGAGTATAATAATTGTTTAATTTATATATATATCAATATTTTATCTGAAAAATAATACATTGTACTTTTTATAGAGGTAGAAGCGTTACAAGTCGAATTACTAGTCACATTGTTAAATAATACTGATGGAACAGCCAAGAGGCCGACGTCAAGGACTATCTTTTTGAAAAAGTTCAAACGTTTCGTTCAAGAGAATCTAATATCCAGTCGCGTAAGTACACGCTACGTGTGTAATAGTAAATCTCTTATATGCGAGACTCTTATATACGTGCGACTATCGTCCGCGTAATTATCGTGCATTCAGTCAGCAAACCTGCAGGCATTTTACCAATTCTGCAGACACCCCTGCCGATCACATTATGTTGCTTTCACCGACTTCTGGTTGCATTCAGAATTTTATGGGACACTGAAATTGGGACAAGCCCTGTCTATATACCCTGCAGGTGATAAGGCATTACCGAGAATTATCAGACACACACTCTTGCGAAAGGAGAATCGGCTCTCTCTACTTTTAGTAACGTAGAAACCTTCAATCAACTCAATGTGTTTTTTTCTCTCTATAAAGCTTATATACGTATATTTATACATATTACTGAAATAATATTGAAATGTTTCAACGCTTGCATTGCTAGTTTGATTTGTCGCGTTTATTAATTGCGTTTTTTTTTTTGTTACGTTGGTATGTATTCGAGTTATCTGTAATTTTCTTTTTTTTTATTTCTCCTTTTCTGAGCATATAAAGCACCTGCTTCGTAAATCATTATTATTATAATTCGCAAATATTATTGAGCGACGTTTAATTTACGTAATAGCATTTCCTTATAAATTGGAATGGGCAGGGCGTTCTACGATGCATCGATCAATTACTCTGGAATCGACAGACTTGGTGGCGTAATAACCCACTTAAACAAGACATTCAAGAACGAATTGCTACGACTCCTAGGTCCGGATCATGAGGTAATCGTTACTATGGAACAGCAGCAACAGCAGCAGCAGCAGCAGCAGCAGCAGCGTACAACGGCGACGAATGAAGCATCAAATAATGCTTATGCCGCTGCCGTGGTCGGTACGGCCGTAAGACCACTAGTCGACTTGCCCGTAGCTATACCCGCGATATACCCTCGCTTATTGAATATCAACCCGTCGACGGCGTCGGCGGGCCAAGGTAGTTCTATACTGGAGAGATTTGGATTTTTCTCGCATACCAGAGAAGATAGAACTCCAATACGTCACGGTCCTGCAGACCCGACGATTTCGTTGATGGAATTGTTAGACGGTATCATCTTATTCTACCACGTAGCGGCGAAGAAGCAATTGGCCAAGGTAGCCGGTCTACGCGACAGTATGTCCGCGTACGTTAACGCGATCGCCGATACCAAGGCGAGGCTCGAGCATGTCGAGCGGGAGACAGTCTCGGGGAAGAGTTCTCCCGACGCGAAGGCGATACAGAGAGAGCTGCTCCGCACGACGGACATATTCAGTAAGAAACTGTCGGAGCAAGCGAGACACATGGCGTGGATCAGGGCTGCCGTATATTCGGAGGAGAAGCAAGCGCAGCTGGCCTGGCTGCTGAAGGTGGTCACGCTGACCCTGCAGACCGCCAGCCAGCAGGGCAACATGTTCAGCTTCGTGCCCGATTTCTATCTGGAGGCGCTGTCCGATCTGAGCGTAAGCCTGCGCGCCCACATGCATCCCACCGCGCCGATCGAGAATATCCCGGACTACCGTACGATGCTGTGCAACGCCGCCGAGTTCCTGTGCGATCACTTTCTCGATCCGCGCATAGTGCACGCCAATTCCAAGGACGTGCTGATACTCACGCTCGCCGGCTTTGTGTCAAATCCACTGATGCTGGAGGCACTGGAGAACGTGCCACGCGAGAGCAGGATAAGGATCGTCACGAGTTTGTTGAAACCGTACGAGAATCGGGCGTGGGCGCAGTCTAATTGGGTTCTGCTACGATTTTGGCAGGGCAACGGCTTTGCTTTTCGATATGAAAAGAGCCCGCATCTCTCGAAGGTCGGCACAAAGCAGCAGGAATCTCTCTATCAATTCATAAGTATGTTATTCTCTGTTTTTCACGTAAAACATTCAGATTTCGTTATCTTGGGCTTTCTACAGTAAGCCGCAGTAGTAGATCGGCAGTCAGAAGCGAATTTTGAGCGAGTCAGTAGTGTGTCATAAGCCAGTAATCGTGACTGCGTGGAGATGCCCAAATTTCATTTCTTATGACATAAAACTTGGGTTGACTGACTTCTGACTTCTGATGCTTCTGATCTATTATTAACGTTTTATTGTAGAAAACTCAAATTTAAATCGTTCAAGTGTGATAAAGGACTCTGCACTATTCTTATGGGAAAATGTCTTTCTGGCTAATTTTTTTTATATGTGTAGTTCTCGTCATTTTGAACAAATGTTTCAATGGACATAACTTAATCTTATGAGCTGTTTCCGCGCTGTAAGTCCTGGAAGATTTAGATTTAACATGTAGAAGTATAGGATCTTTGACGGTATATGTCACCCTCAGTCGAATGTGTGTGCGTGTGTATGTTAATCAGTAACATTATTACTTATCAATAAATATTTCGTTTATTCGGATTTTGCTGCAGTGGTCTCTGACCAGCGTCTAATACGGAATAAAGTAGAGATATGTCTGAGTACTGTATATTTGGTTGGATTTGTTTGAATCACAACCAAGTTAACAAACTTTCCGCGTCTTGACATAGATTATCTTAGGGACTTGATCGTCGGAATATATCAGGTACAACTTGCATCTGGATATATCCAAAATAGACTTCAGTAAAAAGACAAGGAATTCCATGTAGATATGCTCACTGATAAACGTGGCTTCTTGAGAGTGAGAGAGTATTCACGTTTCCGGAATGCGACAACACATCAATTATGGATAACATACAATTTTCATGAAGCTCTTGAAAATGTCAATATTAATGATGATGATTATTCTTGGATATTATTGTACTTGCCAATCCGGAGCAAGAACTGTTGGATGCTGTGCATACGTAGCAAGCGTAATCTGGTTTCTGGAGATACGCAAGGCATCAACTAATTGTAAATACAGTACCCAGACGCATCTTTACTTTATTCCGTATTAGACGTTGGTCAGAGACCACTGCAGCAAATTCCGACTGATCGAAATATTCATTGATGAGTAATGTTACTGATTAATACACACGCACACACACATACCACACACACACACACACGCATTCACACGCACGCACGCACACACACACACGCACTCACACGCACGCACACACACACGCACACACACACACACACACACACACACACACACACACACACATTCGACTGAGGATGACATATACCGTCGAAGAGTCTATACTTCTACATGTTAAATCTAGATCTTCCAGGGCTTACAGCGCGAAAATAGCTCATAGAATCAGGCTGTGTTCATTGAAACATTTGTTCAGAATTACGAGAACTACAACATATCAAAAAATTAGCCAAATCCACAGAAAGACATATTCCTATAAAAATGGTGCAGAGTCCTTTATATTTATATGCAAACTATTGGACAACGTCTGATATTATTTATATTTATACACACATATACAGGGTGTCTCGTACTCAATGGTACAGCGCTTGTGGGCAGGTAGTGTAGTCCACAAGCGCTGTACCATTGAGTACGAGACACTTTGTATAGTATATGTATATTAAATAAATATGCCTTTTGGATTTTTGTAAGGCTTAAACCTTATTTCGATTCGGTTATCTTCAGGATTTGCTGTATTATTTTAGAACCGTGTCCATCGGTAATATATCAAGCGCACGTGAGGGACGTGTTGTTGGGCAATCCGCAGGTGACCACGCAATTCTTGAACTCGCTATTGAATCAATTGAATTGGGCATTCTCCGAATTCATCGGCATGGTGCAGGAGATTCACAATGTGTCGTCGAGGCCGGAACGTGTGTTTATCGAGTCGAGACAATTGAAGATCTGCGCCACTTGCTTCGACCTGGCTATCTCGTTGCTTCGGGTATTAGAGATGATCTCCACGGTGGCTCGGGACGTCTTCAGTGATCCCACGCACTCTTCCAGCGAAATCTTACTGGCCAGATTGAGTCAAGTGAGTGGAGAACGTTACTTCGCGAACGATCCTTCGAATTGTACAATCACGTCATGATTTCAGTTACTCTGCCAAGTGTTGAACAGGATGAGCTCGCAAACCAACTGTTTTCAACACGTGATGCTGCTGGAAATACCAGATTTAGAGTCTATAGATCACTTTCCTATATTAGCTGCCGTAATCGGTATTTTGTTGGCTCTTCTCGAGAAAGAGATGAAGGATTTCGCTGGTAAATTACAAAGAAAACTGTGTGCACGTAAAATTAACGCTTAATAATTTGTGTCTTTCATTACCAGCAAAATCGACGATTGAAGTACCCAGAATTACACGAAGTTTATTGACAGAACCGAGCTTCCAGATCAGTTCTTTGCATTTTGTTTTGGGTGATACAAAATTGAAAAATACAAAGACAAAAAATGTAAAACCATTCTCGTTGTTGAACTGTAAGTGACAACAACTTTTAATTTGGGTGTTTTCCAACAAGAGACACAAATGACAGTGCAACATGAATCATTACATTCTTGTTATTTGCCAATATTAATTAACCCAGTAAAAACAATGATTCACTGTATCATTTATGTTTCTTGCTGAAAAGTATTCTGTACATGATAGTGTATGTGTATGCTTTTTCTGATTTGAGCATTTAGGTATGTAAAAAAATATAGGTATGTAATTGCTATTGCAAATTACTGTTTTTTTTTTTTAAGTAACTATATGTTTTCATTACATCAATCGCTTTAGCTCATTATTTTGTGCGTAAAAGTATCAAGTTACGGTTTTAAAACACTAATAGTTTATTTATTTTGACATAAACCATCTCGTTTAAAAAACTATTAATTATTAATTTTTAAACTATTAATTTTTTTTTATAATCGTAACTTAATACTTTTATGCACAAAATAATGAGATAATCAATTGATGTAAAGAAAACATAGTTACTTAAAAAAATATTAACTTTTGATGATAATATTTCTATATGCAAAATATTTATCTATCTATCTATCTATATATATATAATCATGTAATTTTATCTTAAAAAATGGTGACTTCGAAATCTCGAAAGCTCTAAAATAATAAAAAAATTTTTTGCTAACCATAATTGCTTTTTCGAAATAAACAATCTTTTCCATTAATGTTTTTGTGTCATTAAAAGTAATAACGATACAGGAACTAGATGCTCAAGTTAGGAAATGTTAATAATTACAATATCATAAGTATCTTACTAATTTTAATATCAAATTAAATACAAATTAATTTTTCATTATTCTTTTCTTGTAGATGAGGAAGATGTAACGGCAGAGGAAATTAACCGAGTAAAGCAGATGATAACATATCTCGACACTTGTCATACGTTTTTACCCGATACCAAATTGATAAGTGATGACGACAACGCTTGTACAATTTGTTACGCGTTTCCAATTGCCGCTGTATTTAAGCCGTGCAACCATCAAACGTGTCGCACCTGCATAGATCGCCATCTGCTCAACACTAGGGAATGTTTCTTTTGTAAAACGTTGATAGACAAGGTCGAAGATCTAAGTGGGAACACGTTGCATGATTTTACTAGCGAATTCCCAATTTCGAGGGCGACTTCTTGATCCCGTGACAAGATTGTTTCGTTTAAATTGCATATACTGTATTAAAGATTTGTTGAACTTTTGCGTTATGCGTCGAGAGCACCGAGTTCTGACAAAACTGCCGCATATAATTTTAATTGTATAATAAAGAATTCTTTTCTATGAGAGGAAAAGAGAAAGATTGAGAAAAAACTAGGATAAATTGAGAGTAACAGAGAGATTGTATAAAGTATCACGAAGAGTTCGTTTTTATTTACATTTACAAATATAATAAACCTATAATATTATTGAGCACGTCTCGGCGATGGAAGACATCAAAAGTGTAAAAGAATTCAGCTTCACACAGTTATTATGCACGAATGAGTTAATCGGTAAAATTCTTACTGATAAAAAAATTGTATATGTATCAGTCTTTTTCTGACGCCTTAACTATCTCTTTCTATCTTAACACTAATGAAAGGTGAACAACATGGTCGGATTGCAAATCAGCTTTCCCAGTCTCTTCGAATTACGTTATACGTGAGATCTGTAGAGAGCATGGCACGCCGTTAACAGATTGTTATCGATGATAATAAATCTTTAAGTTTCTCAGATCGCGCAATTTCTAACCCTAATATGTACCATCTCGAGTGTAGCAGTTCCTATCAAACGCACAGACTCGCTCTGAGCTGTCTGAAACCGCTGACTAGTGGCGGTTTGGCCGGCACCTTTTGCAGATCCTGAAGGGCCTCCATAAACACGACGCCGCACACGAAGGCACCGAGTGCGGTCAGGAAGATCGCGAAGACGATCAGCAGGCGGTTCTTGTTCAGGTACAATTCTGGATCTTTGAGGAAGACGCTCTGCAGGAGGCAGACGCCTGGCAGTATAAAGATGAACATCGCGGACAGCGAACCGAGTAAGTTGATGACCGGCGAGATGTCCGGCACAAGAATGGCGATGACTAGCGATAGGATGAACCATATTAGTGTGACGATCACGCGTACATCAATTCGATCGAGGCTCACGTCGACGATACCAAGAAGCGCGTCTCGGCCGCAATACAGTACGATGGGATAGGTGGTGAAGTTCTTGACCGCGATTGCGATTATCGCCACGGTCACGACGGCGCTCTTATCGGTGTAGCCTTGCAGGATATCGCTCGGGACCTTGCCGCTACCGAACGTGGCGTAGCCAAAGTAACCGACGACACTGTACGTGCCGTAGCAGATCAGCATGCTCACGACGGCGCACAGAGTGAATTTGCACAGATTACGGTCCTTCATGCAGGCGTAAGTCGGTATCGCCGTCATGTGGCTCTGTGAAATATACATACTCGTAATTACGTTTTAAAACGGTATACCTAATATATGTGGGAGCGATAGAAATTACATTAAAACTATTATCATACAGAGCATGTATAATGATTATAATATTAATATAGTATTTAATCTAAGGTATATAATCGAAGGATAATACATAAATTAAGAATTTACGTACCTGATAAGCGAAGCAAATGATGGGTATTATCTGCAGAACTTCGTATCCGTTGTCTGGCCAGATTTTCATAGGCGGCACGGTACCGTTCTGCTCGCCGAAGCTTTTGTAAATGATCAACCATACGACATACACGATGGTTATGCAACCGACGGAGCTCGCGTAACTTAGAACGTCTAGTCTTTTGAAAAAGCATAGGGGCAATATAAATATACTGCAAGATAAAGCTGTGACAAATGGCCTAGATAAGTACCTGGAAAATCAAATCAGTTTTTTTTAAGGTTTATTAAAATAACGATCTGACGAGTTGCATTTTTCTCTTTTTTTTTAATAATTACCATGTGTGACAATAGTCAAGACCATAATACGTGGCGAACACCCTATCGAATTGATCGCCAACGATTATCAGAAACGTTAAGCAACACCCGAAGCTGTAGACAGCCACGCAGATCCCGCAGAAAGCAAGTGACTTGGATCCACATAATCCAGCAAATGTGTCTTGCATGGTATCGGTGCCTGTACTGTTGCTGCAACTAGCCAGGATCACCAGAGCAGCTATGATCAATACGAGAAAACCGAGTTGAGTCACGACGGAGGTTCCTACCCCACCGGCTTTGTCGAAGGCCTGCGGGAAATTCAACAATCCAGCCCCCAGTGTGGTGTTTACGATCAAAAAGATTGTTCCCAAAACGCCAGCACCTGTAACGCGAACAGACGTCTAGAAGAAAACTCTCTCATTATTAACTTCTCATTCCATGCATACATTTGATCTATCATCTTGAATATAAATCAGGCTCTTCGAATTACTTAACTTTAATTTAATTCAGTTCAGTTGGTTTATCTTTGACCAATTAAAAATATAAAAAAATATTAAGCGGCTCTTATGATCAATATCATTGCACAATATTTGATATTGCATAATATTATTGACTGTTTGAAGGCTATATTAAGGATTTGCGCAATATACTGTGTCAATCAAAAGTTCTTTGAAATATATTGCGCAACTGAAATAGTTGACAATATCCATACTTTGTGACTACTGTTGTGCAGTAAAGAGTCAAATCCTTCAAAATATATACATATATTTATATTTTTCCATTATAATGATACCAATACTTTGACGAAATATTGATCCTTAGACAAATTTAATATTGTAAGTATTAAATTGGTTAGTGATTAATTACTTATTTTGAGTATTAAAAGAATTGCTAGTGTTTTGAATACTCAAAATAAATAATCACAATTTTGAATACGGTTATATTAAATTTTTCTAAGGATATTGTATGAATTTCAAATCTTCAGAAAAAGAATAGATAAGATATTGACTAGATGGAATGACATCTCGTATGTAAATATCAATTTTCTTAATTTTATATTCAATGACAGTCAACAACAATTTATCAAATGTTGAATGATTTTATTATTATTGAAACATAGTTAATAATTGCTTAACTTGTTAACTCTTAATTCGTTCATAAAAATTTTATGAATATACATATTTTCTCTTCCGTATTCCTTTATTTATCTTCTCTTTTTTTCTTTTTTTATAAGGCAGTAGCCACACAAAGTTACTTTCGTATAGCTCAACATTTTAGAATTAACTAGATTATTGCATAATTTGATTAAAGTTATATTGAATTGTTTAGAGAGAGTGCGCGCGTAAATAGTATTGTACAATATGATTATATACAATATTATTGATTGTACAGGCGCCGCTTTAGATTACTTGTTTATAGACATTGTAAATGGTAAATGAATAATGCATTAAACAAATGTATTCATTTTATAGTGCACAATATTTTCTTTACTTATCTCATCGATTAATTACAACAATGATAAATGAGTCACAATACAAATGTGATCCTTCAAAGTTAATAAAATGGAAAAAAAAAAAATGTGTGATGTGTCTGATAGTGTGTGGTCTTGGTCTGTAATTCAATTAGCTAATAGAACTTCTATTACTTTATTAAGAGAGATTATTTGTGCATCTTAGATATTCTTTCGGAATGATCGACAAGGTGACGCCTCGTGTTAGCTGTGTCGTATTGAAATTACCTCTTCGAGTTTCATTGTTCTGCGCGTGTGAAGGATTCGGTCCAGTCGATAGAAGTAGATTGTTAGTGAAAAGCGGTTCAGGATCGCCCACGGCGCCCACCAGACGATCCATGCTTGATGCGTTCAGCGTTCGCGATTCGCGAATCGGACTGTGTGATGTCTGTAATGTGATGACTGTGATGCTTTGTTTTGTGACGAACGTTCCTCTTCCTCCACCTCCTCCACTTTCCAGTGTGTGCAAAGTCCACGAATGCTTCACGGAGCAGAGGTCAGAATTAGTATAAAAAAGAGCACAAACTCGGCAGTCGGCGTGCAAGCGAAATACATATATATGTTTGACGGCACATGGCCCGTTTTACGCCCCGCAATCCGCATTCAACACTGCATCTATAACAGCAGCGCATATGGAACATGGGACGCCCGACAATTAATACATCTCGTGATGAGAGAAAACTGGACAGAGGGCGTTTAATTCAAAGTACGAAGATCTCTTAATTTTCGTAGTAGGTATAATGTATGTACATACATACATACATACACAAATAACTATATTACTTAATTCTAAATGAATTGTAAATGATTAATTAAATGAAAAAGCAAATATTCTTCCTGTTAAAAATTTTTCTTAGAGATGAGAATTCTTTATATAATTTGTTCAAAATTTTTATATTTTAAAAACTTTAAAAATTTTTTTATATAACTTTTTTCAGAAACACATCAAAATTTTTTATAAGAATCGGAATAAAAGGTACATAGACATAAGTTTACATTCTTTTCATTCAGAATTCTTTATATATGCGAACTCTGAAATATTCTAAAATTTCTCTTATATCCTATATATATATATAATTCTAGCAATAAGTAGAAGTTCAAAAAACTTCTAAAATTGTGAAGAAGGTATTTTTTTTTATAAATTTATATAAAAAACTATTATAAAAAACAAAAAATTTAAAATTTATTATAAAAATCTATTATAAAAAACAAAAAATTTAAAATCTATTATAAAAATCTAGGTATTATAAAAAACAAAAAATTTTTTTAAATATGAGATCAACTAGAATTTTTTTCATCAAGGATGTTCAGAAAAACAAACGCAATAAACACGAATAAAACCAGATACCTATTCCAGCTGTGCGTAATATTGCATATCAGTTCGAGCGATCATCGACCTTCATTCACCGGTCGCGATCTCTTTGGTCGCGACACTCGTGCGTAATCAGTAATCAGCTGATCGGCGCAAACCTAACCTTTACACGAGTTATGGTTAAGGTTAGGTGCGAGTCGACCGGCGGAGGCGGCGGTATTTATCGTCATCGATTTTCACAGTCATTCTCGAAAATTCTCGACTGGTAGACTGTAGAGATCGGGGAGAACGAATCTTGATCTTCAAGAAGAAATAAACGTACGACAGGAAACAGCCACGACTCGTTCGACTATGTTTCGACGTGTGTTCACGTCGAGTTCGCGCAGCGTATCGGTAAGCACGTGGCACGTGTCTTGGATAGGGATAGGATGCGGAGCTTCTTGCAAGGCAACGAATCTCGACCAACTCAGCTGACGAAGCTGTTAATTCAACCGGCAGGATTGCCCCTAACAAAATTTTTTGGCTTCATTTATAATTACTTTGGAAAGAATTATTTATTTTATTAAATGTGTATAATATATATTAAACATATAAAATATATAATAAATATAAATCTCGGTATTAAATATAATCTGTAAAAATTTTTAAATTTACAGATAAATATAGATAATATATATGAATATTTTTAATAGATGTAAAATATAAATGAAAGAAAATGTATTTATTATACATATTTTTTTATGTATATCCTGTATTTTCTGTGGAATAAGAGATAAATAAGTATGTTCGAATTTAATGAAAATAATTTCTTAATTTTCTTAATTAATCCAATGTTATTTGCCTCTCTCGAGCAACGTTTTGCATGCTGTAGATAAGCGGTGCGACTAAAGAGGACCGCAATGAGAAAGATGAATAAAACCAAACTGTTGCAGCTGTTATCTCGACTATGGAATGGGTCCAATGGTGTACTTGCGGGTAAGCATGCCGAGCAGAAAATGATATCTATCCTGAGGAACAGGTTTCCACAAGCTCAGCTGATTGAAGTTACGGATGTGTCAGGTAAACATTATTTTATACTGTGTATATTTTTTAGATAGATATATAGATAGATAGATAGAGAGAGAGAAAGAGAATGTTTTTGAAGAATATAAGTATTTAATCAGATACTGACGTAATTGCAATTATATTTTATAGGAGGATGCGGTGCTATGTTTGACATAAATGTCGTTGCTCCAGAATTCAAAGGACTCAATACTGTAAAGCAGCATCGAATCATTAATGAGGTAAAGTCTTGATGATTACAACCCAGAGAAGTTATAGCAATCATGTATATAGCGACAAAATAATAGAGTCCTCGTTTTCATATATTCTACAACTCAGAGATTCAAATTTAATCTTTTTCAATATTTTCATTCGGAATGAAATGTAAGTAACGATGCAATATAATTAATTTGTTTATAATAATGTTTTCATTCTTTGATTAAATCTTGATTATCCAAAATCCCGCTTTTCGAGGCGTGACAAAATAATAGGATCACCAGGAATAAAAAGAAGAACGTGTTATTTAGTGAAGGAAAAATGATTTAATTCTTTGTTACATTATGATTAAGTGTAATTTAAAAAAAATCTGCATTGAATAGCTTAATCTGTTTATGTAGAATTTTATCATGAACTGGCTAAAATTCCAGACCTGCTTCCAGAATAATAGTTTTGTCCTGAAACCGAATTACCTTCTCTTTCGATGTATATTTCTAGAAAGGATAAGCATACGTTTATTTTATACAATATTAGGAGATGCTGGCTAGTTTTGCTTTTCTATCTTTTCTTTAATAAACCAAGAAAATACCTTATCTTAGCTGAGAGTATATCGCTTTGTTTTGTTGAAAATTGTAATGATCATGTGAGAGGTCTATGTGTGGAAAATTTAGCGTTGACTGTTTAGAAATTTCACATAGCGTTGATTTGCTGCATTTAGAAAAACGACACGATCTGGTAATTATGATTGAGTATGAAAGAAAAAAATTTATTATCTTTTTTTGAGATTTTGGACGGTCAAAATTTAAAGGAATAAAAGCATTATTATAGATAATTAATTAATGCAGGTACAAATTAAAAATTAATTTCATTATATAGCTACGTACATTTTAAGTGAAAAATATACATATAAAATTTATACTTATATTATAGAAAAAAATTAATTTTTTAATTTCTTTGAGCCGAAGAATATATGAAAATAAGAATGGTTCTATAATTTTGTTGCGATTTATATTAAATTATTAATTTGTCTTATTGCAGGTTCTTAAGGAAGAAATCAAAGATATGCATGGCCTTCGAATACATACAAGTATTCCGCAGACATAAATTTTATTTTGGACAATTATTAAATTAATTTTGCAGAAAAAAAATATCTTGATTATTAAATTAATTTTACAGAAAAAAATCTATTGATTTTAGTGAAACTAATATAATGCATCTGAATATCTTTTTCAAAAGTTTTTAAGGAATTTATTTAAGATCTTTAAGAAATTTTTTATAAATATTCGAAACAATTTATTGTATAACAAGTTCATTGTTAGTCTGATTGTGAGTCTGTATTCAAGATGTGGAGATCTTATACAAAATATAGAAAATATGTATATTTTATAGGATGTAAGTTTTGTAAAAACAAACGTTGTAAAAAGAAATTTAGAAAAAAGTAAATAAATAAAAGTAAATATTTTATTAACTAACAATAAGAAATATAATTTATATTTATATTCAAGGAAATTCAGTTACAAGACATGTTAAATTGAGAGAAAAATTTAGATGCATATGCATTACAAAAAATATCAATATACTGATTTATTATATTGATATTATTATTCTCAGTATCTAATGCGCAGTAACAGAAATAAACAATATTTATGATTCATATGATATCAATTTCCCAAAATATGTTTCATTCGTTGCACTTTCTGTACATACAAGTGCAGAAAGGTCATCTATATACGAATCATTCGAATAAACATTGTTCCATATGGCATATGTATCGTGCTAGACGTTCTGCGGGAATGTGTAAAATCTGCACTGATCTGCAGTGTTTGTCATAATTCGCGAGGTGCAAATTGAAAATTGATGGCAACGATATGTTCTCGATACGTATAGAGAAATTTATCCGAGCACACAATATCCTTTCTTTCTCGCTTCGTTTATCTTCATTCTACTTAACCTAACTTATACTATATGATTAAGACAGTGCCGTAGGGTGAGGCTGATGAGGCAGAAGGCACTTTCATCTCTCCTCCTGCCGAAGTACAAAAAGAAAAATACGAATAAAACACGGTATCCAAACACTTAAAGTATTTGTTGTAAATTTTATCTACCTACAGCAGAAAGAAAGGCTACAGACTTGACGTGGCAGGATATGTAACGTTTTGTTAGGAGAGACAAAATTTATTAGTAAAGTGATTACAGATCGATGGTAGACTTTAACTTTTTATTTCTTGCATAATTTAAGAGATTTCACTTTTTCTCTACCGCTGATTTGCTATCAGATTACGTCGGAAAGTCAGCAAGACAAGCTTGACAAGCTTCGACTGCCAAGTTGATTTCAAGCATTAAACTTAATAAATCTAATGTATTATTATTTTAGTACATTAGTTGATTTTTTAATATTTTATATAATTGTTTTTTTAATATCTTAAATGTTTAAATACTAGTAAAATTATTCTCTTAATTACGAGTAAATAAACCCATAGGGTGACAGTTTTATTAGTATAGATGATGAATCTTTGGAAATTTATGCACCATCCAGATTATCAAAGGCAGTCTAAGTGTTAAAGTAAATAATTGATAATATATATGTATGTCTTAGAACATATTAATATATATGTATGTTAACAATTTCTGAATTTGCTGCCAATCTGCTATATGGTTTGCTAAAGTACACTAAAGTACACATGCTCAGGTTATTTCTGTTTGTATTTTTATACGTTATTGTTAATGTTAAAAATTATAAAACTGCAAAGTTATTGAAGTTTATCTTAAATCATATTTATTTTATATTCTAAATTATATTCATGTCATATTTCATGCATCATATACCAAAGTCATGAATTTGTGCACGTATACCTTATATCATATAGTTAAATCAGAAAAATTACAGATTATTATTATCATCGCTTGAATTAAAAACACTGATCATTGCTTAAATTAAATTAGAAAGATTTTTTTATTGCAATATACATTTCGTGTAGTTTTTAAGAAATTGTGACAAGCACATAAAATTTATAATATTAATTTTATCAATGTAAAATTTTTGTTCTTTTGTTGGCGAGTGATTGAACTTTATTTCATTTTTTTATGTATTTTTTTATGTATAAGATTCAATTATTTCGATTTCTTAGCAAAATTAAAGAAATAATTTTTTAGGTAAATCTTGCTGTGTATTTATATTGCTTGCTGGATAGTTCTTGATGCAATTCACTTTTAGACTGCAAGTACAATTGTGATCAAATACAAACCAGATGGCTCGGAACGTTCTTAGATGTATCATTGTACCATCAAGAAATATTTTCCAAAACAGGTGTGATATCTAATTATATCTTATAATATATTTAATTATGTAATGAAGGTCTTTCTTCTTTTTCTCTTGAATAAATTTATTTTGTGCTATATATTTTACACACACACACACACACACACACACACACACGCACACACACACACACACACACATATCTAAAATGTATGTAATATGTATAATATAAAAAAATATGTATTGTATACATCTATATTTTTTAAAAATATATAGGGGAAAATTTTTGGGAAAATTTTTCACATAATTTTTTAAAATTTTTATATAAAAATTTCAGAATTTTGCACAATTTCTATATAACTTTATAATTCTTTAAATTTCTTGTATTTTTTAAATATAAATTAGAAACTTTTCAGAATTTTCAAAAATGCTGAAAAAGTTCTTCTAGAATTCTTTATATATGTGAATTCTGAAATTTTCTAAGATTTCTCATTCATAATTTTTGAAGAAAATTTATAAAATCTGAAAAAATGCAAATATATTTTTTAGAAATTTACATATATTTAAAATATGAAAAATTCTAAAAAATATGAGATATGAGAATTTTTTCCAGAGTATCAATGTCTTACTTACTTTTTATTTACTTTATGCTTTATAAGAATTGTATAAAAGTGTCTTTAGCTAAGGATATAAGAAAAATGAGAATTGATCTCTTCTATTGACTTATTGCAGATGGTTGGAAAGTACCGTATCTATCAATAGAATCGCTAGACAGATATCAACAGTTGATGTTAAGGAAATTGAACATCTCTCTAGGTTCAGAAATGATTGGTGGGACGAGAATGGCCAAATGTCTGAACTTCATTTATACGCTTCGTTTAGAATAAAGTTTGTGAGAGACGGATTGGCAAACGTCGGAGTCCAAATGCAGAATCCAGCCCTTCCATTGGAAGGAGTTAAGATCGTGGATATTGGCTGTGGCGGAGGTATATTGACTGAGCGTTTAGCTAGAATAGGGGCGCAAGTAACCGGAATAGATGCATCGGCGGAATTGATAAATGTTGCTAAAGAACATGCAAAGTTGGATCCCAATATATCAGAGAGATTAAATTACATTCTGACAACTGTGGAAGATTTCTCTCAAAAGGAGAAAGAATCTTACGATACTGCCGTAATTTCCGAGGTCTTGGAGCATGTAACGGATCCGCAACTATTTTTAAAGGTGCAATATTATAAAAGAAGTCGCAAGAATTATTGAATGTAGACATAAAATTAAATATTTTACAAATATTCTCTATAGGAATGCGTGAAAATGGTGAAACCTGGTGGATCGATTTTTATAACAACAGAAAATAAAACTCTAGCATCTTGGTTGATGCTTATTGTAGCAGCGGAATACATTTTCAGAAGAATACCTGTTGGTACTCATGAGTGGAATAAATTTATCGCTCCACAGGAAGTTCAACGTATATTGGACGATTGTAAGTTTTATCTCTGTTGTCAACCCTAAAAGAAAATTATTAAGAAAAAACATTTTGTTGTATAAATATGATATTTGTATGATTATAACAATTTCGTAATAATTACCATGCCAGTGTTTATATATTATGATAGTTTTTAAAAACTTTTCTTATAGATGGATGCAGAACGAGATTAATTCATGGGGTAAAACTTAATCCACTGTTAAAGCAGTGGTCTTGGTCGTCGTGTACAGCAATTTTTTATGGGCTTCATGCAATCAAGCAAAAAGAAGTTGGCGCGTAGTTTTCAGAATGTGCTCTCTTGTCACTAAATGCAAATTACTATATATTTTTATCGTTCATCGGTTGTAATATAATTAATATTATGCTAAGGATTTTCTTACAATATGTTACACTTGTACACAACTAGAAAATCTAGAGAATATAAGGAATATAGGAACATACAGATGTTCTATGAAATAATGTGTTTAAATAAAATTGAAGATTTGTTATAGGAAATTAGTTTCAAATTTTCAGAAATTTTCAAGTTGTCGAAATAAGTGCCGAACACACTTTATTTCGTTAATAATTGCTTATAAATTAAATATAATTGTAAATTTTAAACTGTTGAACGTTTACCTACAATTTGCGTTAAAACTTCCCGCAGGATTTGATACACGTTAATATTTTTATTTAAATAATTTGTGTTCACAATCCGATTAATTTAAAATTATTTATTTTAGTTGAAATACAAAAGTAACAAAAAAAAAGAAACACAAGATACGAAAATTTAAGGATATAAATAGATTTACATTTAACAGATTTAACTCAATGGCAATATCACACATATTTGAATATGTGAATGATTTAAATTGCTCAGTGTATTTTAGATAAAATACATGAACGCTTTAGTATCAATTTTATACAATACTGAACAGTTTGATTAAGTGTATAAACACATCTCAAGTTTAACTTTTTGATATAAATTTAAAAAAATTTTTTTCTAATTTTTTAAATAATATTTTTCAATTTTACTTAATTTAAAAAGAATTTTCTAAAATTTGCTGCTCTAGATTAAACCGATTAGTACAGTTAATTAATATAGTAACCGATAATTGTTTAGCTAGATTGATTACTTATTACAGACAATTAGAAGTACATCTATCAATAATCACTAGACCAATGTCGATGATAGATTCTAAACAAATTGAACATTATTATACTTTGAAGAATAATTGGTGGAACAAGACTGCCCGGTAGCTGACCTTTTATTCACATTGAGAGTACAATTTGTGATAGATAAACTGACAGATACTGAAGTCAAAATGCAGAATCTAACTCTTTCATTGGAACATGGAGGTAAGACATAACTTCTTACTTCCATGAATTTGAAGGAGTCAAGATTGTGAATGGACGCATCAGCGGAATTAATAGACATTGCTAATTAAAGAACTGGATCCTAATATATTAGAGAGAGAGAGAGAGAGTCAATTATATTCATACGACCGTGGACTTTTTCCAAAAGGAGGAGGAATCGTGCGACGCTGTTATTGTTTCTGAGGTTTTGGAGCATGTAGCAAATCTATAACTATTTTTAAAAGTATGTACATTATATTAATAGTTATACATTATAATACATTATAATAACAGTTGTGTATCTTCGTAAAAAATCTCATCTTTTTTAGAATTTTTTGTATAAATAAATATAAATATGTATACAGGGTGTTTATGAAGTCTCACTCAGGCCTAATACCGATCTCAGAAACGGCTTTAAATATGGAAAAATGTTTCAAACAAAAGTTGTTTGACTTCAAGAGAGACATAAAATGGTATCATTGGTTTGACCTTGTGTGGCGTTGTCAAGATCAGGGAAAGGTCACTTCAAATTTTTTAAATGGAATCCCCTATTTTTTATTGCATATTCTTGTAATTTATCTCGAGAGCTTTCCAAACATAGATAAAATATTTTTGATTAAGTAAATATTAAATTATGAAGTTTGAAATTTGCAGTACCGTCGGCATTAGCATTATCCAAGGTGTTCGAACTGGCTAAAACCTTTTGAATGTTGTTTAGGATGATGACTTTGACAACACATGTCAAAATCAAAGCCATTAAAGACCATTAAAGGTTGCTTTTATTTTCATTTTTGAAAATTTTTATTTTTTGAAAAAAAGAAACAATCTCCAATAGTCATGACCTTCACATGTTTTATCAAGGTCATGATCCTGAACAACATTCAAAAAGTTTTAGCCAGTGGTTCGGACACCTTAGATGATGCTAATAAATATTTTATCTATGTGTTTTGGAAAGCTCTCGAGGTAAACTACAAGAATATACAATAAAAAATGGGGGGTCCCATTAAAAAAATTTAAAGTAACCTTTCCCTGACCTTAACAGTGCCATCCAAGATCAAACCAATGGTACCATTTTATGTCCCCCTTGAAGTCAAACAACTTTTATTTAAAACATTTTTCTATATCTAAAACCGTTTCCGAGATATTAGACCTGGGTGAGACTTTATAAACACCCTGTATATATTATATATCTTTCACATTTCATAAGTTTTCTTCGGAAATTATAGAATGAGAAATTTTAGAATATTTCGGAATTTACATATATAAAGAATTCTAGAAAACATATAGATTTTCTCAGCATTTCTAGAATGTTCAAATTTTGATAAAAAATTTGAGAAATTTTTTGAAAAGTTATAAAGTTACACAGAAATTCTAAAAAATTTTATGAAAAATTCTAAGAAAATTTTAAAAGATTTTACAAATTTCCTTTATAGGGATGTGTGAAAATTCTGAAAGCAGGCGGATCGATTTTTATAACGACGGTAAATAAATCTCGTAACATCTTTACTGTCTATTATTGTTGGATAATTGTACGTTTTATCTTAGTTATTAATTCTAGAAAGATTATTAAAGCGCATTTTGTTATATAAAGATCATAACGAGCTATAATTGTCTACATCTCTTATGCTATAAATATATTCTTTTTTGCTAACTAGATGGCTGCGAAACGAGATTAATACGTGGCATGAACTATAATGTACTGACAAAACAATGGTCTTAGTCGTCATTTACTTCTACGTTTTATGCACTTCATGCAGTCAACAAAGGAAAACAGATATAGTTAAATCTTTTAAAAGTATATTTCAATTTATTTTCAATTATTTTATAATTATAATACATGTTAACAACTCTTAAGATACGACTTAGAAGGATTTTAATATATGAACTCAATAAACAGTATATGAAAAGAATATATATATGTTTTATTACAATATACTTATTATATTCAATATATACCTTGCGACAATACGATTCTATGCAAAAAAGAGAGGACATGCCACATTGTAGAAGCAATATCGCATATCCTCATCCTTCGAATGTTCTAAAATATCACATACACATTTTATCTAATCATGTATCGCATAGATCACAAGTAAAAGTTACAAGGCAATAAGCATAGGGGTCAATAAATCTAAGAAAATTTTACTTAAGTATTTGCGAAGTTGTCATTTAGATTTTCTAATGGTAACTTGAAAAGGCAATCGATATTTATTTTGCCTTAGCGAATCCGACTCGGTCGTTTTGCATGTCGAACTCGGTATAGTATCGTCCAATAAATACATCGCCCAAAATCCATAACGGTTTTGGCATATCCATACCCATGAAGCCGCTCATACATATCGTCTGACCGAATTGCTTGATCTACGGAAAATTAAATATGGCATAATATTTCCGTTCTAAAATAATTTAAATACGAACCATTATATTTACCTTAAGGATATAATCTTCACCAGTAAGAACGAAATTCTTGCCTCCTAATACGAAAGTGATTTCAGGCATCTTAGGAATCAGGGCGCAGCTCACCTTTAAATGATGGTAAATAGTTACATGTTCATAATCAAATAATTTATAAAAAATTTATTAATTTGTTTTAATATAATTTATTTAATACTGTTGAAAGACATTGCGAAAAGTTTGATCAATTACTTACCATTGCCTCTCCATTAATAATACGAGTAGCTCCAATCAGTTTGTTAATAACATTGATTTCTGCCGTTGGTCCAGCTATCAAGGAAGTGCCCGTATCAGCGATAGCTTGACAGCCTTTCTCGCAGCAAGTGTGATCTGCCACTTTGACCCTACGATGCGATAGCGTTAACAATTTATTGACATATGATCCATGATATTGTATGATATACGTATAATTTAGTAAATAATCACGTACCCATCCATAGTAAATTGCCAGTATCCTTTACGGGTAACAGGAACATACGTAAACTCGCCTTCGTAATGATCGGGGTCGGAACCACCCAATATCATTTCACCACCCTGCGAGGCTGAGGGATCTCTGACAGGTTTTATATTTTTTGTAATATGGAAAAACTATTTAATTGAAAAAATTTTTTGGATATATGCTGTGTATACGGAAAGAAGATACACACCGATTTAGGTAGAAACTAAAAACGGATTGTGGTACAAGGTTCTGTTTGACCATGTTATAAAAAACGGGAGTCACTCCGTCAACGGATATCGTGTCGTAACCCATTCCCAGGATACCATCGAATTTTGCAGCGACAAAGGTTAATCCTGGCTCGCTCATCGCTTCTGCGAATGTTTGATGCTGAACAGCAAGGCCAGCAACCTATAACAGAGATCGATATTATTAATAAAATGTGCTTTACTTTGGAGAGTACTAACAATATGTTCTTAAGAAATTTTTATAGACTACTATAATTGGAACTATATTAGATTGTTTGTTTGATGATGACTTACGTCTACTACATCAGTAGATAAGAATCCAGACAGACTACCAGTACCATACTGAATTTTAAATTTAGTACCATTTTTCTGGTATGTACTGGATTTTTCGCTATTATATTTATTATGTAACACTGCAAACAAAAAATAAAATTGAATTAGTTGATAATGAAGATTTTAAGAATAGATTTCTTTATTAATCTATATATATATATATATATATATATATATATATATAAAATTGTCAGATATATTTATATTTTTTCTTTAACATGTAAACTAACTTCTTAAGTCGCAACAAAGGTCATTTATATCTTTAGAATAAGCATGATAAATCACATAAACAAGGTCGCAAGCAATTGTGGAACTTAATTCCATTATATTTACCTTACCAGTTTAATTTTTAAATCTGCCACTTCAAAGCTTTTAAGAATTTATTTTAAATATGTGAATAAACATAGAACATAATTCTGTAGCATTATTTCTATTCTATATTTTCACTTGGCATTAATTATAACAAAAGAAAAAAGCAATTACAATTATTTCATTATTTGGAGTGTTTGTATAAATAATGAAACATAAAAAAAATAGCGATATAATAGTACTGATATGCTTACAGCAAGCAATATTGGTCATGTGGCACTTCTTGGATGGTACCCAGAGATTGGAGGAACCAGTGTCGAAAATTACTTTGAACTTCTGCGGTGGGGTTCCAATCGAGATTTCACCATAGTATTGAGCATCCAGATAATTAGATAGAGGTTCTCCTGTTGGTGTGCCAACATTTGTAGCTGCCAGCCGAACTTGCGTCAGGTCGGTGCCAACCTCCTTCAAAGCCTTTCGAATGGAATCCGTTCTTACTAACGGAATTCTTAAAGCAATACAAAGAACATTCCATTGTTATGTTACCGTATGCATATATAATGTATATTGAAGATATTTATACATTAAATATGTGTATATATATGCACATGTCTTGTATGTATAAATATATATATTTAATGTAATAAATATCTTCACTGATGCAAGCAACACTCATTGCAAAAACAATGAGTCATGAAAACCACCACGTAAGTTTAATCTATTCTAGAAACTTTCCTGTGCATGTACAATGCAAAAGAAAACAAAATTACATGCATAATGCAAAGATAAAAGAAAATCAGTGTGTTCAATTATACAAAATTAAATCTTGAAATAAATAATGATAATAAATCTGAGTCTTTCTAAATTATGATTTACGGATATTTGAAAGTGTTACTTGATTTATAAGATTTCAGATTTTAAATAAAGCTATCTTGGGTCAAACCAGCAGTTTGAACCTTTGTCAACTTTATATACAATTTTATTATAAACAAAATGAGCTGTATTTATTTATAAAATATGATAAACAAACGACAGATAAATAAACAAGAATTAGCTCACTGCTACCTGTATTTATCTATTTACAGGTCAACACGAAATTTAGATAGCCTAAGTGCGAACTCCGCATGATTCACTAATCTCATTTAAGACGTCATAAAAAAGATAAACGTACAGAGGATCTTTAAAAGCATCTCTTTGTTCGCTCGCTTTATTTTAACAAGAAAAAATCACGAGCCTTCGCAGATCTACTCCAATTATCAGGTTGAGGTTATTTATCATAGATTCCACGAAGTTCGACGCGCATCTCTAATCGGTATTTATCTCGCACGGACATGTGCGTCGTGAATACAAATCCGTAATTCCGTTTATGCTTGCTCACCTTTGGAATCCTGTCGCGTCGACCAGCACGGCCAGCGCCGCGACCGCCACGAAGAGACGAAGCATGTTTCTCGGACGTTTCTTCGGCGGCTCAGCGAGAATGGAATCGATGAGATTCTTTTAAGAGCGTTGTAACTTTTCTGCGAATCAGACGACAACAGAAACGTGTAACAGAGAATGAATCGTCTGAGTCGATCGCCAATGCCCGCCAATACTTCCGCACGCCTCGCCGCACCTCGCCGATTCCGCTTTAGCCGCTTAGCTCAGCTTAGTTTATCGACGAACGGCGGCGCTATATATATGAACGCGCGCGCTTGCGCGAGAGGGGCGGGGGGAGGGAACGGTGACACGCGGCGCGCGAAGCATTCGAAAAGCGGCCTTGATAGATTTCTTCATTAATCAAATCTAAAATTATCGCGTTTTGCCTATGCGCATATTTTATCGGCGTACACACGATGTATTTAAATAAATTCAATGATTAATGGAGCAGCGGTGGGGAAATTGCATTTCGAAAGTACGTGTTGTTTACATTAAATAGGACAAGTGCATTATACAAGCAAGAATGGTGCGCCGATTGCAAATGACACCGAATCCGACGTTGGACGTTAATTATTGTGCGGCACGGAAATAACAAAGTATTCGAGCATCGTCCAAGGTCGAGGCGCTGGGAAAATTATGCAAAAATTCATATTACTGACATGTAAAAATTTAAACTTCGGCTTGTCGATAAGACAAGATTGGAGTCTCTGCTTATCGAACGCGTGCGTTTGAATTTTAATAAAACTGAACGAAGAGGAAGATATGCAGTAGAACACCGATATTTTCTTGTTCAGAAACTTTTTTTGTCCTAGTCTGGCGCACATAATGGCTTTATCATTCCGGTGATTGTTTTGTTTTGGAATTTCTATGCTGTACTAGTACACCTTTCGTTTTTATATGGATATTTATTCGTTCTGTTCTCTTTCTTATCGCCCTCACTGTCTCGGCAAATACACTCGACAGCAAAATTAAAGCATCACCCATTCTGATCATTAAAAATAGGCAAATTTCAAGAGAGTGTAACTTCGTCAAAAATGATCGTATCGGAATGATCAAAAAGCATTTCAAAGCTTAAAGTCTCTACTTTCGACATCCATAATTCGTTAAATTACTTACTGATTCTTTAAAAGCTGCAAGGATGCAAATGGAGATGCATCAAATCTAAAAATTTTTTACCAAGTTTGA